ATAGTCAAGGACCATCTACCACCTACGGACAATCAAAACATCCATAGCCAAGAAAAAATGTTCTTGGGATGGGATTCGAATCCGCGCAGCCCACGTCGACTGATTAGTAGATCCATTACGCCTACAACTACGCCACCTCTGCTGCCCGAAACCGACACGTTAATTCATTCGGTTGGACCGTTCTCCAGATTCCAGAATTTCCGGGACTTGTCGTTGTAGTACGCACTACTCGAAAGCTAGTGCTTGAATGGGTCATTTCAAAGCAGTACCAGTGCCGTTGTATTGTTTTATTTTTATATTTATGTGCCGGATTATTGAATAAATGTTTATTCAAAGGTTCTTTGGGATTTCCCCATTATTATTATCAATAAACTGTCAAGATCATTAGAAATTTGAATCTTTCAGGATTCAAACACTACATTAAGTCCAGCAAATACTTTAGTACTAGTTTATTTGTCAATGTCACAGTTTTGACTGTCTCCTGAAAAATTGAAATTCTGGGACTTAAGAGGTTTTTGCATTGACCTATTCGCATATTGTCATCGAATTCGGAGACGTAAAATTTTATTTACGCCTACCAAATTTGCGTTGTTCGACAAATGATAGACGTACATGGAACCCCCACCGATTTCTCCAAGGGGCAATATTATGCTGACGAGCTCTAACAAGGATGAAACGCAGCTATACACCGATATAATAAGAAAACAACTTATCAAAAAGTTAATATCTTGACAACGGAATAAGTTACAGACTTTTCCCTCCGTATCCTATATCTAAATCCTCTAAGATATTGACAATCAAAACGTGGTTACGAACTACAAATTCCACACGGTTCCGCTCCTTTTTCCAGTCTCCTGTCAAACGTTTACAGTGTATATTACATTCGAATAAACGGCACACTGTAAATAATAGGAGTACATGTTACGGTACCGAGTCGCTTTATGCAAAGGATCGCCATTTTCTTTATTATATCCGAGAAATATATTGGCAATAAAAACGGATATTCACCTATTAGGTCTATAAAATACTATCGGGCTTGTCTCGGTAAGCGTTTGCTTCTTATTTGCAACGTATTATAACAATAAGCCGTTGCGTTGTTGAACTTTGGTTACAGTGTGTCAAACCCACGTTCACACCTAATGCGAATTGTAATGAGATAAGGGGGAAAGTGGGATACAGGATACGAAGACTAGAAAGTTTTGTACGCAGAACGAATGAGGACCACTAGAAATTGAAGAACAGAAATTCTAGAATACTGTTCCATAACTGTTTACAATCGAGAACAACAAAAAATTGTACCACTATCTCTGCATGTTGGAGATAAACTTAAGCAAGGTTGTCTTAACAAAATCAGCTTTGGTATGTCTTTCAACACCTATCTATGTCAATTTGCTTGCATATATTCAGAGCTGGTGTCCGTACAGAGTACTCGGAAGCGTGGGATTTATTTGGGATCTATGGGGAAAATGTAATATCAATATCTCAACTTAGCAACAGTATTTCAAACAAAGGTGCTGGCCATAGAAGTATGCGCCAGAGAGCATATATTATAATAGAAGAAACTGGTATCCAATCAACTTTTTTGTTAACCAGGCAATCGCCAAGCGTTAAATTGGCGAAGATCTTTATCAAGCAGTTCAAAAATTGCATGAACACCTCCAAAGATATCGAAACCGAAACAAGCAACCATGAAGTTGCAAGTTTGAGTTAAATAGAGCAGGCAATATAGCTTTAAACGTATAAAAGGCACACAGAGAAAAAAATTAGCTAACGAATTAGAATTTTGAGCAATCCAATTGAAAATGAACTTTGTGACATCTGACAAGTTTAATCTGATTAAACCTAGATTTCTGAAACAGTTCACGTGAATCAATGAAGCTAGTCTAATTTAAATCAAAACGCAATCGTTTAAATTGATTTTTTAAACCGTTCGTACGCCAATTTATTTAAAATTAATGAACTAGCGAAATAAGTTCACCTCCTCCAAGTAAAACAACTTATGCTTATTAAACTTGTTTAATTAGTGTAGGTAAGAGTATTTTCCTAGCTCTAATGATTTTTTATATAGATTCAAATATATATTTATTCAATAATTGGAATTTAAAAGAACAAGTTACGTTTAACTGAATGATGTATATTATGGCTGTGTACTGCACAAATCTAAATTATAAAATAGTTTGGAAAACATTGTATTGATTTTTCGAATCAAAACAAAAACTTCCAAACTATCAATTCAATATTTTATGTTATTACTGATTGTGACCTTATTATATTTGTATATGGGATCAAGTATTGCCAGTTTCTCTGATTGTCCAGAAACAAGAGATAATATACCACCAGTCACTAGCAGCAATCCTTTGTTTTAAATTCAAAAATTATGGAAATGCATAACTGACACTGTATAATACCACTTTATAGAGCAAAAATGGTACTTTTATTTCTATTAACAAAAGAATATTGCACTCACACGCATTCAACGAATTTACATATATAAATAAATTCAAAAACAAACTGGGATGTATTCAAACAGGTATTACAAACTCTGCGTGAACAGAAGGCTCATATTATATGTACATTATACAATATACAGGCTGCATCCATCAGAACATTTAATCAAGGTATTGCATTAATGGTGATACACCACTGACGCAAAAGTATTTTATCATTGACCTATGAGACCATCAAATAAATGTCTATTCGTCGAAATTGAGTTTAATAAAAGGCTTATATTATAATTGTTTTGAAGAGAATAGCACATCAAGCATAGGTTGATGACGTTCGGTATAAAAGCCCTTCTTTAACCTACATACACCCGCATAAAGAAGTTTTCAAAGATCTTCCCGTTGACTTCCATATACGCAGTGTTTCATTTGGAGCGACAGATATTCTAACCCTGATTATGGGTCACTAAGCGCATTATGCTCTCGTATTTCAGTTGATCATTTTCACACCACTGCTCCACCAACCATATCATTCGACTATGAAGCTCATCACGAAAATCACAAATGAAACCAAGGAGTTCAAGGACAGTAACGGCACCGCGCCTGTAGCATACTTCCGATGATTCACAATATGAAGAGCCGCGTGCTGCCGAGTCCGGGATTCGAATAAACAGTGTAACTGTTTTTTTTTTAATCTTTAATTGTTTTAAGTGTACGTTTTCTACAGGAACTAAATTACCTAAACTATTTAAACAGTTTAATAAGACAGGTACCTAGGGTCAAGTGGTGCAAAAACGAGACGATTTTTAAATCTTCTAATTTTTTGTCAACAAAAAACCGGCCTTTAAGGCTTTGTTGTATTGCCCTGTGTATAGAAAGCCATGTAGTATACCTCACGTTAAAAAAAGTTCATAATATTCATACTGAAGGGCGTTTTTGTTAAAAAACCGTGTCTTGTTTTTAACCACTATTTAGGCTAAAAAAGTGAGAGGTTAAAAACAAGACACTGTATTATCTGGCCTTTTAGTCACTTTACAACAGTGTGGCAAAATATGAGACCCTGGGGAATAAAAACGAGACACACTGCAAGGGTTTTAAAGCGTTTAGTAAGTCAAATAACATAAATAGGTTTTAAATTGTGACAACGTTCTTAAAGAAAACTCACATAATTAAATACAAAACTATGTTTATTAAACTAAAAAGAAAACAAATCCAAAAACAAGTTAAATAAACCATACCTAATTCAAACAAGGGGTAAAACAGGATTTTCAATAGGATTTTAAGAGCTAAAGTAGAAAACTTATTATTCTAACGTATTTTGTACTACATATTATTGAACGACGTATTTTTCAAAGTCGATAGGAAACCAATATTGCTGAGAGATACGACAGGTCTTACTTTCTATTTCTGGCTGGGGAAGTTTCATTTCTATGTCACTCTTGTCGATGAAGTACTTTTCCTCAAAGGCCGGAAAAATACATTTAAATCCTTTGCGCCTCAGATATTTTACTTCTACATCGCTCTCAAAGACTTTAAGGATTTGTGCCACGTAGAAAACTTTTTTTTTGTTTTTTCGACTTAGTCTATTGCGCTTACACAAATTTTTAAACCAATCTTTCCCGGGCTTTCCTTCCTTAAACTAGGTAGTAAGGTGGTTTTCTTGTACATAGGTTTGAACTATTGCTTGTATCTCTGGTTTAGTGAGAGCAAACCCCCATGTTTTCATAATTTTTATCTTATCACTTAAGTCTACTTCCATTGATTTGGTTAGAGAAGTTTTTCTTCCCTATTTACCGAGTGAACGAGTACGTCTTCTCGAAAGACCAGATTTGTCAATTTTAAACTGTTTAGCTGCATTTCTAAGAGATAAAGTGCCATTATCTATTAGTTTTTAAACTTTGTGGTGTCTCGTTTTTGCACCTGTTATTCACGACGTGCCTGCTTGCCAACAAATAAAAATAGACTAAATTCGATATGGAATATCATAGCCGCATTTGTTATTTTGAAAACGCGATACTTGCCGAGTCTCTACGATCACGTACAGCGGCGCAACAGGAAAAGTTTGTAAATACAATTTAAAAGATTTTTTAAGCAAAATGCACAATCAGATGCGATAGTTTTTTTCTCGATGTTTGTGTTTACGTTTATTTATTATTCATTACATATTTCAATTGTAGGTTAAATCAGGGTGATATGGCGAACAAAAAAAATGAGATATGTACAAAAGAAGAAATCGTTTATTTAAACAAAATAAAAACGCTATTCTTTTACAAAATATATAGGCAACAACTTCACAGGATGATATCCTTTTTAAGGCATTACAAAAGTTTGAAAAAACAAATTATTTATTTTTATCAAGTTCACCATTTCACCCATGCATACGGGTGAAATGGCGATTGCACTTTGGGTGAAATGGTGAATTTACTTCTCCTGTTTTTTACCACAGATATGACACATGGATTCATATCTTGAACAGTCTTCGTGAAGCCAAAGTTGGCAGCTAATACATTTGACCCAATCAACGTCCTTTTTAGTGCATCTATACAGTTCGCCGCATCCTTAACAACAGCATTCTTCATCGTCCACGTCGTCATCATCATCATCTTCCAAGTCCATATCCAGCGATGAGTCAGATTCGGTGTCAGTGGTAGACGCTTTACGTTTCTTACGTTGCTTGTTTTTGGTAGTTTCTTTGGTTATGGTTTTTCCTTTGGCCTTCTTTTTAGCATTTTCTCCACTCTTCACTGACTCAATTGATGTTTTGTTTTGGCATTTTCTGTTTCGTAGGTTAACAATGTTTGCTGGAGAATTCAAAATCTCAGCTAAAGCTCTAGAATTTTTTCTAGCAGATGCAACTTTATTTACCATAGGTATCGGCGAGATATTATCCAAAAGTTTCCCAGGGGTTATTTGAGATTCTTCTATTGCCACTGTTGAAGTCAGGTCTGTTGCCTCCGATGAGAAATGAATGTTTTTCTGTAGATTTTTCCCCGTTGCAAACAGCCCAGTTGTGGTGAAGCTTGCATGTGTTCAATTCCCTGATTGTTATCTACTTCTGCAGTTGCTTCTGCCGAGGGATTTGGGATTTCCTGCCAGTGCGAACAACCTGGCTCAGGTGAAGTAGATATTTTTTCACGTCGCTCGTTGTTTTCCTGTTGATCTGAAGCTGATGTTAAAAAGGCATATTCGGGAATGGCATCAGTATTAAATGGGATGATTCCTGTGCTTCTGAACCCTGATATTGCGTTATCTGTCGTAGCCGCTTGTACCCATGCCTTACTAAGCAGTCCTCCGAACACTAGTCTTGAAATTTTTCTATTTGGGTTCATTTTAATGTAGGAGTTGCAAGCATTGTAATAATAGGATTTTAGAGATTTAAAATACTCTGTCTAGTGGCTGCAGATAATGCGTCGTGTGGCTGGGTAGACAGAGCAGAATTATGTTATTTTCCTCTGCAAACTCTAATGTGTCCACACTGCTACAATGAGAGCTGTGCCCATCCAAAATGAGCACGACCGTTCCCTCAGGCTTCCTCGGTGCAAAATGGTTCCTTAGCCACAGAAGGAAAGTATCAGTTGTCATGTACGCCGACTTTTGTGACATGAAAATAATGGAACCAGGCAGCATACCGTCTCTATATTCAGCTTTTTCATTCTTCCCCTTTAAAACACATGCTGGTGGTAGAAACATGCCCTCTCCATTACAACAAGCAATAACGGAGATGGTTTCTCCCTTTTCACCTGATGTTATTGCTGCGACGCTCTTAGATCCCTTTGCTGCCACCATATGCCCTGGTCTGTTATTTAGTTGAAGTCCGGACTCATCTACGTTAAATATATTTCCCGGCTTATCAAGTAGATTGTGCTCTATCAAGATATTTTGCAGCAATGAAAAATAGTCTGAAACGTTTTTCTTGTTTAATCCCCTTGATCGTGCCAGTGAAACGCCCTCCGATTTGCGGACCGAGAGTTCTGGATTTCTTTTTAAGAATAAATGCAGCCAATCCATACCGGCAATTTCCTTTTCTCGGTTAAATTTGTGGTGCTGGTTACATTTCTCAGCCAGTTTATATGCCATGATACGTACTTCTGTTCTTGTCGGTGCAAATCCAAATTTTTGTAATTTTATAATATGTTTCACCATCTTCTTCTCACATTCTTGTGTTAAGACAGGCGGTCCACCTAAAGCTTTTTTCGTGAAACACACATTTGCTATTCTTCTTTTCAGCGTTGACCATGGAACACCAAACTCCTTTGAGGCTTGATTCAGGCTCATTCCATTTTGTACTGCGTTTATGGCATCTTTAAGTTGCCCAGTCAGCCCGACTGGATCCTCTTTGCCTTTTATAAAATGTAGGCATCTTTGCCTATAACAAAGGTGACAGTTAGAACTTTTACTTAGTCCGAGAAATACAAGAATATAGTGTGTGTTTTGTTTTAATCACTGTCAAACCAAACCAAACCCGACCAAAAAAAAAACAAAAAAGTTTGGACCTGGTTTGAACCCGCACCGCTAAAAAACTTAAACGTGACGGTCCGCCGCAACTCCCACTATGCCACAGCCGCTTCAACTGCACGTCGAATAAATCCCGCTTACGATAAGAAACATTAAAAATTCATGCATTGACAAAGCCTAGCCTTACAAGTAAGAAAAGTCGGTCACCATATCACCCATGCTCGAGTTCACCATTTCTCCCATTTGACATGGGTGAAACGGTGAAGAGCACTGGAAGAAGTTCAAAATATTATAGGATATGATTTTTAGGTTATGTAGTATATAAACAGTCTAAGGTGGCAGAATATATCAAAAAATACCTCGCGGACTACGCTGCTTGAAGCAACATTTACAAACACATGCATCGTATAAAAATTATTCAGCATCGGAAACAGTTTTGTACAAATTACTTACGGTTTTTAAAACGTGGCTGGTTTTTAACAGTTGCTCGCTGAACATATGATTATAAACTGTCGGCATTCACACCTACAGAGACATCTGTGTACTCGGAAAAGAAATAGATTAATTCACCATTTCACCCGATTCACCATATCACCCCGATTTACCCTATAAATGTGGCAGTAATTTGCAACGTATTTTTTACAATGTTATTGTTTTTTTGCATTGGGAAAAATTGAATGTCTTGTTTTTGACCGAAATTTCGGCTGTCTCATTTTTGCACCACTTGACCCTACATGACTAATATTGCTTTTACCTAAACTGGTTCCAGAAAGTTCAGCTTCATTAAACCAAAATTACTCAGAATAATTAAAAAAATCATTACGGGTAATGAAAATTTTCCAGAAATACTATTTAATTGATCACGCATTCTCAGTGCACTTTGACGCACTATGCAAACGTTTCATAAACTATAGTCGAAATCACGAAATATGACGATTACGTCATCATTTTAGTCTGTAGTAGAGACAAACGACATCGATTTTTGAATATATTTAATGAAGTTTCTGATATGTTAGACAGAGACAAACAGAATTTTATTGTCAAAACAAACTGTATTGCTAATGTGCATGTATCTGACAAAGATAGACGGTGTGTTCATGTTGCATGATCGATCATATTTGAAAGATGAATAGTTAGGTTATGTTAAAGCAGGTTATGTTGTTTTCGAATAATACTTTCGTCTTTGGTGTTCCTGTCTTAAGGTATTCTACTCATAACTGTTGTTTTCAAAACAAAAGCGCGCCACTAAAATTATTATTAAGATATCACTCAAAACTTCGCAATCATAATATAAATTTGTTGTCATTATGTTCCTGATATCGTTATTTTATCATCGACGTACGTCCATTGATCACTTCAGTACAATTTAAGGTATGACGTAATAGTCATCTTTCGTGATTTTGACTTTAAAAATAAACGAATAGAATATCTTTGCTTTGGGTTTCTGTGACCATAGCCATCCTTATATAATGCTGACTCACACTTTTTGGCAATCATCAGTACAGAATAGGTATAATCATTCGAGAAAGGCAAGTGACAGCTAGCAACCGAAAATAGGTCAGTACGTCGCCTTACGTCGCTATCGATACCAAAAGACTAATTTCTGGGTATTTTTTGATTGACAGCCCGCTCCAACTAAAAGGAGAAGCTGTGTAAACTATAGCGTATGATCATTCACCAGAGGGAGCACTTCATATGCGCGACAATTTGTAAACACTTTGCACTGAGTGTCTACGTTACACTTAAGTACACAATAGTGCGTGGGTACACAAGCACTCACAGCTAGATTGTATGTTAGGGATTTTTGTACCGACGAACAGGTTCTAAACAAAACGGTGCACTTAGCACCGAGTAGCCTACATCTACCAGGGATAGGGCAAAACTACGTTACTACACATTATTTGTCTAATATGTATGTTGAAGTATGTTGAATGTCTAAATCTAAAACGGTGTGGATGCAACACTTAGGGCCGGTATTATAAAAGCTGCTCTTGACCGAAGGTTGTTCAACCACCGGTTGAAATTCAACCGCCGGCTGAGAGCTGGTCGGTATTATAAAGCAACTTACAACCATAAGTTGGCTAACCGAGACTTGACGCTCGTTAAGGTCTGTTGGCTACACTGACATTTTGATTTGACCCAATGAAATGCGAGTTATTTGGCGGAAGAAACAAACGTCATTTGCCAGGAATGTCAATTCTCTATTTTCCTCCGCTATTTATCGTTTTATTTGTGAATTAAAGTTATTTAATATGTCTACGAGAAGCAAAAGAATAATATATTCAGAAGCTGATTGTCATACGCTTGTGGATATAATTATTTCTCATAAGAATATTATCGAATGTAAGAAAACAGATGCCACAACTTGGAAAGAGAAGGTGAGTGATTATTTCTATAAATTCTTAGTAAAAAATCTACATGTGGGGTATATTTTAGATAACTGCATGGGCAAAAATAGCAGATATTTATAATGCCACTACTATGGAGCCAAGAACAGCTGAACAGTTACGTTGCAAATACGATAACCTAAAAAAAGAAGTGCGCAAGCTCGAGGCTCACAAAAGACAAGCGTTATATCAGACTGGTGGTGGTGTGAGCGAACCTGATATAAAAGGTTCACTTAAATTATTGTATGCTAAAATTAATAGTATAATTAGCTTCTCAGTCCAGGGTTTAGAGCCTAGTAATGGTGATAGCGATTTGGTGATGGATGTAGTAGAGAAGGGACAGCCTAGTATGTATAATAATTTAATATTCTATAATGATTTCAGCATATGCAAAATTATATTTCAGATACATTGCAGCAAGCTTTAGAAGAAGATATTCTATTTGATAACCTGCCAAAAGAGACAGTTGCTGAACAAAAAAATGGTATACATTGTCTTATGTTTAATAATATACTCCCTATATTTATATTTTAGATATTTTTAAGAATAGTGAATCTGAAGTAAAAGAAAACGAAATGCTGACAGAAACAAAGAAAGATCCTGAAATTAAGAAAGGTAGTACAAATCAATGGTCTGTACATTTTTCATTATTATATGAGTATATATATTTCAGACTGGTCAGATTACACTCCTAAAATGTTACGAAGCAAAAGACATAGAGTATTACAAGTGAAGAGAAAGGCAACTGATCACCAAAGTGAAGATGATAAACAAAATTTAAAGAGGAAATTAATGGAGGAGGAAGCCCAAAGAAATAAGGAATATCATATTGCACGTATGGAACGAGAAGCAGAAATCCATAAGTACAAAATAGAAAATATAAGATTGCAAAATGCAAAATTGCAATTGGAGATAGAGTTGCTAAAAAAACAATTATAAAGGAAATAAAAGTTTAGTTATACTGTTAAAAACTTGTATTATTTATTCATATATTTCATTTCTAATTGTCAACATAAATATCTCTATAGAGAACTATGATTTGTGCGCCATAACATATATACTTCAATGAAAAGGACATATACATATAGAACAAAAAGTATAAATAATAAAACAATAATATAATTTTTATTGTGCCTGCTCTAACAAATTTGAAAAATATAAAATAAATTCTTCTCGAAAGTTATGATTTCCATCTCCAACTGGTTGTTCACTTTTGTTCTGGGATTTGCAATTGGAGTAATTAAGTATTTTTTTAAACCATAACCTGAATCTCCAAGCAGAATGGCATTTCCAAATTCATTTTGTTCAAGTCGACCTTGTAATCTGCTGTTAGCAAATATTGTTTGATCGTGGCTTGAGCCTGGCCATCGTGCAACAATATCCCTAATTTTTAGCTCTGAGTCACCTACTACTTGCACATTAAGAGAAAAATAGCCTTTTCTATTTCTAAAATATTCAGCATTTTCCCCTCCTACAAAAATACGAGAGTTACTTATTATTACAAACCTAGTGCAAAAATAA